CTCACTTTCTGTCTCTGTCTCTCTCTGTCTTTCTGGCAAGCACACACGCCCTATAGCAAAAACCTCTCCAAAAAAAATAGAAGTTACTGCACAGGAAAGAACACAGTAATTAGTTTGCATCAACAACTCTCAGAATGGGATAATATTTTTGTAAATTATTTCTCAGATAAGGGACTGATAACCAGAATACACAGAGAACTTAAGTGACTTACCCCCCAAGAAAAATGATGAACCCAATTAAAAGATGGGGAAATGAGCTGAATAAAAATATCTCTAAGGAAGTCATACAAACAGCCAAAAAGCATATAAAAAAAATGCTCAACATCTCTTATCATAAGGGAGATACAGATTAAAACCACAATGAGGTACCACCTAACCCCTGTCCAAATGGCAAAGATTAAAATGCAAAACATGATAAGTGTTGGTAGGGTTGCAGTGAAAAGGGAACTCTCCTATACTGTTGATGGAAAAGTATGTTGGTCCAGCCACTGTAGAAAACAATATGGAGGTTCCTCGAGGACCTTATAATTACAACTGCCTTATTATTCAGGTGTCCCACTCCTGGGTATTTACCCAAAGGAAGGGAGAATGCTCAGTCAGAAAAGCACTTGCACATCAATGTTTATTGCAGCATTATTCATGATTGCTAAGACATGGAACCAACCCAGATGTCCATGAACAAATGAATAGATTGAGAAAGTGTGGCACATATACTCTATGGAATACTATCAAATGATAAAGAACAACAAGACCCTGGCATTTGATAGAAAGTGGTCAAATATGAAAGATTTATTGCTGAGTGAAGCAAGCCACGCTATGAAAGAAAGATATTGTATGTTTCCATTTAATATATACCAATTGTCCTCACTCTATGGTAGAGACTGAAAGATTGGGAAACATAAAAGCAGTGAAAATAGTTATGGATGCTGGAGACAGTGTGGAAGGAGGATAGGAGAAAGGAAGAGGATAGGGAAGGAAATCAGGGAGAAAAAATGGAGGCAAGACATTTGTGGGACACAGAAATGGTTTATTACCTGTTAATGTATAGTATTCTCAACTGGACTGGTCTGAGATGTATTTCATGTTGGGTAAATCCTCTTTACAAGCCAAAAGTCGTATAGTGATCTAATGTTTAAAAAAAATGAATGAAAAAATTTTAAAGTGGACAAAGCCTTCTCCTAGATTTGAGCTCCATTGGACATGATGAGTCCAAGTTTCTTCGACTTTCAATCTAATATATTTTCCTTTTTTAAAAAACATTTTTCCATAGAGTGAATGCACTCACCAGAGAGACACAGAGAAAGGTAAAGTGATAAATCACTCTCCAGGGAATGCCCATGCCACAAACTCTGATCCCCTATTTTCAGGGATAGCCATGCCCATAACTTTTATCCTCCATTATCCTTTTGGGATTTTAGGCATGCACACACACATACTCAACTTGATTTTCAAGCTGCCATGTCCAGATCTTGAACCACAGTTGGCCATGTGGGAATCCAGTGTCTTAACTACCACACCACCTGCTGTCCCCAATCAAATGTATTTTCTACGATCATGCGAAATGATGCTAGCAGAGATAAATAATGGAAGTTGTACTGTATAGTTTAGAACTGGATTCACTTATCCTTTTATTGATGCATAATTTGGATCACTGATTCTAATCCACTAATACACCAGAAATTGGCCATACCTGAGTATGAAGGATAGTCAAAGATAGCCTTGGTAGTAGATGCTATTTTCTATGCACCACATCACTTCAGCCCACTTGTGACTTGAGCTATACTGCAGGTATCCAGGCACCCAACCATCTCTCAGTTTTTCCATCTCAGGGTATTCTCTAGAGCTATAGAAACTTCCTCTGTTCAAACAGGCTCAGCCCACAAGTGCAGAAGACTTAACACCACCAGAGATAGAATTTCAATAAATTGGGGGTGGGACTTGGCAGGTAAAGACTTTGTTACCTTTAAATTTTGGAAGACAATGCTGAAATTCATACTATGTGGATCCTCAAAGAGCCCTCAGCAGAATTCAACTCTAGTTGCCAGCAACAATAAACAGCTCAGTAATGCTTCTTTTCCTGTCTTATTATTCCTACTCCCTCACTCTAATCTCTTAAAATCACTTCCAAAATAAATTATCTCTACTAAACCTTGGTCTTGAGCTTCCTTTTTTGAGAGGAAAACTAGGCTCTACAGAGCCAATGAATCTCATCTCCAATATCTCTGAAAAGATGAGGGCTTCAATAAATGATCATCCTGATAGTTAAAAGAGACCCAAGTAAATGAAAGCATTCTTGCATTAATCATAATGAAGCTCAGGTTTCTCAGGCTCAAGGGCCTACTACCAACCAATGCAACATCTACAATCACCCTAAATAGGAACCTGGGTTTCCTGTTTTCTGCTGGTGTGGTCTTTAAGTGTGAGCACCAAAAGCTATGGTTTCTTATGTGGTGACTGATAAGTTCTTGCTCAACTCTGGCCTGAGGGCTTGGTGAGACAGTGGAGTAAGACTGAAATAATTTTACCTGTTACAGCACCTTACAACACCAGAGAGAACACTAGGGCTTAAAGACAAGCAGGAAGCATCAGTAGCTATGACCAGGCAGCCTTTCTAAGAAGATGCAGTCACTCCTGCTCCTGTTGGCCTTCATTCCGTGCCCTGGGACTAAAGCAGGTGAGTGACCATCCCCACAAACATCTCCCTGCCCACCCCCCCCCCCAATCCCAGCCCACAATCCTGCTCAGACGCCATATACTCAGATACATCTTGGCTCTGGGTCATTTCCAGGAATTTTCTGAACCCTACATCCAAGCTCACCAAAACACAGGCAAATCTGATGCTGGATAGAAACTCAGGAATAATAGGGAAAAGGTATTATTCACAATTGCTAAGACATGGAACCAACCTAAATGCTCACAAACAGATGAATGGATTGAAAAATGTGGCATATATACTCTATGGAATACTGCTCAGCCATAAAAACAACAAGACCCTGGCTTTTGACAGAAAGTGGATGTTATGTGGAAGATTTACTGCCGAGTGAAGCAAGCCAAGCTATGAAGGAGAGATATTGTATGTCTTCACTTAATATATACCAAATGTCCACACTCTATGACCAAAATTGAATGACTAAAGGATATAGAAGCACAGTAAATGGTTGTGAATACCAGACATAGGATGGGAAGAGGGTGGGTAAAGGAATAGTCTCTGAGGAAGGACATTAAGGAGAAAAATAGAGAGACCGAATTAATAGGACAAAGAAATGGGGTATTATCTTTTGAAGATAACTTTATAGTATTATCAACTGGACTGGCGAGAAATGTACACATGTTGAAATATTCACTTTGCAAACCAATAATGTGATTGAATGTATAAAATATCTTGAAACAAAATTTTTTTTAAATAGAGAGAAGGCTGTTCTCCACGAGAGCCAATGGGTACTATTCCCTCAAGTCCTGCTCTTGTCATCTAGAAAGTGGATTCTTTTACAAAGGCATTTGGAAGACTGTTGGAAGCTGGGAGTAAGAAATAATTCCCCAAGAAGAAGACTGAGTCCTCCATGGGAGCTGAGATCTAGTGCTTTCAGGGAATAAGAGAAATGAAGATGTTCTGCTGAGAAGTCACCCTGGGTCAACATAGTCCTCAATTCCCACTGAGTTGGTGGCACAAGGGGAGAAAATAGAACAGCAACGAGTTTGCAGATCAATTTCTCCTTCATGGCTCTGATTGCTCAGATTAAACTAGAAATTAGAAAGAAATGAATAACCCATCAGATGACTAGAAATTATCACAGAGGCATAATAAATATGAGAAACCAAGAAAATACCTCTTCCCCAAGGGAAGATAATAACTTATCATCCACAGATAATACAATGAAACTCACAGAAATGTCTGATAAAGAATTTAGAATATTCATAGTGACAAAGCTAACAAAGATGGAAGAGAAGAGAGACAACGTACTCCAGAGGAAAAGAGCTGACGAGTTCCAGGAGGTGAGAAAGTTAAGGCAAGAGCTGAAAGAGAAAACACACACCATTAAAAAAAAAAAAAAAATCAAAGGGAACTGTTGGATATGAAGGTTATAATACAGGAAGTCAAAACCTCCCTTGAAAGTATTAAAGCAAACTAGATCATACAGAAAATCAAATCCCAGATGTAGAATCGCTGGACTAGTAAAATCCACCACAAAGATTGAGAAAATAGTCCAAAAAATGAGAACAATATACAAGAAATACTAGATACCATTAAACATCCAAACATCTGGATAATTGGCATCCCAGAATGTGAAGAGACTAATAAGGGCATTGATCAGCCATTCCATGAAATCCTGGAAGAAAACTTTCCAGACCTAGAGAGGCATTCAAAGATGCAGACCCAAGAAATACAAAAGGCCTCAAATAGACCAACCCAAAAAGATCTTCTCCAAGACACATTTTAGCCAGATTAGCCAAAACCACAGACGAAGCAAGATATTAAGATTGGCAAGAGAGAAATGTTCTTAGTTCTAAAACAACTAAGAAAATGGCCAGCTTAATGGTAGGGACAAGTCCAGAGTTGAACGTTATCTTCTAGAATTTAAACGGAAAGATTGGACCACAACAGAAGATAGATTAAATACATGAGTCTGAACTGGTGAAAAAGAATTTTATGACTTTTGACTAAAACATTACTGATCTCCTTCCATCCTTTGTTTTCCAGAGTTAAGAATTTTTGTTTTCTCTTGAATTGTGGACAGGTCCATGTATAAAATATTCAAACAGAATCCTAACCTGTTTCCTGGCTTTAAGTTTTAAGCAAAGCTCTCTTAGCATTTCTTTTATTTTGATTTATTAAAGCTAAAACTGTCTTTCTTAAAATTAAAAAATATACTTAAGGGAACCAGCAGTTAGTGTAACGGCTGTGTCGCTGGACTCCCACGTAGTCAATTGCGGTTCGCATCCCAGACCCGGTGGCTTAAAACTCACGCGGGGCACATGTGTGTGCGTGCCCAAGATCCCAAGAGGAGAATGGAGGAGAAGGGATTGTGGTGTGACTATCCCCCCTGGGGGGTGATTTCTCGCTTTCTGTCTCTATGTCTCTCTCTGTCTGTCTGGCGAGCGCACGCGCCCTATAGCAAAAACCTCTCAAAAAAAAAAAACATATATATATATATATAATTAAGAAGATACCTATTTAACGACTACAGGAAGCTATGCAGCCTCAGTTAGGTACTACTTGATAGTATATTCATTCTACTCACATGCCCAAAGTCAACACGTGTTCATAGATAGATAGATAGATGATAGATAGATAGATGTATATATCAGCTGAACTTGCTAGTGAAAGTATTTAGATTAATTAAGATATTTGTGAATCAATGAAATGTGAGAAAAAAATTTAAAAGGAATGGAAAGCAACTGCAGATACCAGAGACAGTGTGGGAGGAAGGTGGGAAATGGCAGAGGGTGAGATAAGGAGAAATATGCATATATATATATATGAAACAAGGAATGGGAAACTATTTGTTGATGATAATATGTATGATTAAGCCATCTTACAGTGTATTCTGGATGGGAAATTGTTTTTTGTATACTGTCATGACGTTCAGTGAAAATATTTTAAATAAATTAATTAATAAAAATAAATAAATAAATCCCCAAGAAAAAGCAGCTTGGAGAAAGGGGTTGGCTTCTATAATCAAGGTAAGGCCACTAACTTTCTAATTCAATGTCAAAATCTGCTCTCTGTCTCCAACCCCTTTGTCATTCCTATACTGCCTGAGAAAGCAAGCTAAGGCCCAATTTATCTCAGAATTGGTAACATTTGTTCTCTTGATATTTATTTTTGCCTTGCTTTGTACTAAACTTGTATCTTGTCATTCTTTAGTTGTCATTGTTTGATTTGCTTTTGGTTTTAGTTTTAATATATTATGACACAGCATTTTTCAGTTACAGATGGGTACAAAGGCTTTGTTAGGTCCCATCTTCCCAGCTGCTCTGCATTCCATCAGCATGACTAAAAATCCCACCAGCACTACCCCAGCCAACCCTCGCCCACAGCTATTGGGAGTCATTCCTTCATGCACCCAGAACATTTACTGGGCACATGTTTTGGTTCAATCTCTAGTAGATAAAGATCAAACACAATCAACCTCTTAAGCTCATTTCACAATATTACAAACCAACTGCAGCTTTTGGTCTGGGAAACAAAAGGAGAAGGAAGACAAGGGGAACTTCAGAGATAGGACTTTCCAGGCTCTATGGGACCTCCACTACTTAATGCCAAACACAAATGCTGTCTGTCAACAGAAATGTCTGAATCAGGACTTAAGGAAGAAAGGCTGTTCTCTTTGTCAAGGGGAGAATCTGAGTCCCAACAGGTCACTTTGCAAGTCAGAAATACTCTCCAGAGAACCCTCAGGGCTCCCTTCTTAGCTGCTACTGGCTACTACTGACCCCACTACCCACCACCCCACCTGATTCCTTACTTCTGTAGTTTATCCCAGTGTCAACTTCTTCAGCCTTTGGCTCCATGAAAAGAGAAAGCAAAGTAGGCTTTTGTTTCAGGGAAAATCATTGGGGGCCATGAAGCCAAGCCTCATTCTCATCCCTACATGGCATTTCTTCGGATCTGGACTCCAGATGATGTGAAAATATGTGGGGGTTTCCTTGTGCGTGAAGACTTTGTGCTAACAGCAGCTCACTGCGGGGGAGGGTAAGTCATGGCTGTGTTCCTGAGCTTCTATACGCATTCCTAGGGGAGTCCCTTTCTTTGGGGCTGTAAATATGGGCCCCACACTAAGAGCTCCTTGGAAGATAGACAAACTTTGGGAAAATAGGAGCAGGCGAGTGTAGGTGGCCTGATGAAGAGAGAAGGAACACACTGTCAAAGGTGGGTGAAAAGGAGGTCGAGGTTGTATCCTCAAGCCCAGAGTAAAAACTAGAGAAAATTATTGTTTCACTTGGAGGCAGTCAGGCTCTGTGCATGACTGAGCACACGACATCTGCTACAGAAACTTCCACCCAGCCCTGGCTGCCCAATAGGCAGAGGGCATGAAACACTCTGCCCCAGGCCCCATGCTCTAGAATTTCTCTCAACTCCTGCCCTGCTTCACCCAGGGCTGCCCACTTCCCTTCACAGCTCCCAGAGCTACATCCCTTGTGACTTACTCTCCCTCTCTGCTCCTTGTGTAGCTCAATAAACTTCACCTGGGGGGCCCACAACATCGCGGAGCAGGAGAAGACGCAGCAGGTCATTCCTGTGGCAAGGGCCATTTCCCATCCGAGCTATAATTCTAAGAGACCCTTCAATGACATCATGTTACTGCAGGTGAGCCCCATTACTCCACTGGCTCTTAGATACTTTTTGTTAGGATTTTTGCACCCTCATGACCTCGTTTCCATCCCTCCTTCCTGATCTCCTTCCCAGTGTCACCCATCCCATGGCCATGGAGAAGTCAACCCTATAACTGTCCGGAATCTTTCTGAGCTATTAATAGATTAGAATTTCTTTCCCCTGCCTACAGCTGAAGAAGAAGGCTAGGTTGACTGCTGAGGTGCACCTTCTGTCACTGCCCAGAGGAACACAGGTGACACCGGGGACTGTATGCAGTGTGGCCGGCTGGGGGCGCATTGGAATATTCAAAAAAACACTGAAACTCCATGAAGTAGAGCTTAAAGTCCAAAACAATGAGCAGTGTATTTCTCGCTACAAAGACCTTTATAATTACACTACCCAAATATGTGTGGGGGACCCAAAGAAGAAGAAGACTTCTTATAAGGTAAGATTACCAGCACTTTACATGCCAGCTTGGACACACAGAACTTTGAGGAGATCCAGGACAGTGGGAGCTAGCCATTGTCATCCACTAAGCTTTTCTGACCAATCCAATTACTATTTCCTTCTCCCGGGGGTTTAGAATAGTGGTTGTCCCTACAACCACTTTATGGAGGAGTGACAGGTCCAGCCTTACTCAACCGGAAAGAATCATCAGGTCCAGGCCTGAGCCCCAAGAGTAAGGGAGGTGACAAGGCCTGCTTGGGCCTGATCACATACATGCCCCCTAACAGAGACAGCCACTTAGGGGAGGACTTGGAGGAAGCCAGCTAAGACCTTTCTCTCTCTGCCCGCAGGGGGATTCTGGAGGCCCTCTCGTGTGTAACAGTGTGGCCCAGGGAATTGTCTCATTTGGAAAAAAGAATGGAAAACCTCCACGTGTCTACACCAGGATCTCAAGTTTTCTGTCCTGGATAAAAACTACAATGAGACAGTTCAAACTGCTGGGACCAGGCTGAGGTGCTTCCAGGATTGATCTGTCCATCTTCTCCAGGAAGAGTGCATATGATGGAGAGAGTGGGAAGGAGGCTCCCGGAATTAATAAATTGTATATTTGAGAACTGGATACTCTGCCCCTTTAACATATAATCTGGGTCACTGATTCTAATCCACTAATACATCAGACATGAGCCATACCTCTAAATGAAGGATAGTCAAAGATAGCCCTGGTAGAAGATGCTATTTTCTTTGTACCACATCACTTCAGTCCACTTGTGACTTGAGCTGTACCACAAGTGTCCAGGCATCCAACCATCTCTCTGCTTTTCTGTCTCAGGGTAGTCTCTAAAGTTGTTGAAATTTTCTCTGTTTAAACAGGCTCAATCCACAAGTGCAGAAGACTTAACACTACCAAAGACAGACTTTCATTAAATTGAGGATGGGAATTAGCAGGTAAATGACCAAGCTTTTTAATTTTGGAAAGACAATGCTGAAACCCATACTATGTGGATCCTTAGAGAGTCCTCAGACAGATTCGGCTCCGGTCACCAACAACAATAAACAGCTCAGTAATTCACTGTTGGTGTCCCTTCTTTTCCTGTCTTATTCTTTCTACTCCCTCATTCCAATCTCTTGGAATCATTTCCCAAATATATTATCTCTATTTAATATTTGTCTTGGGCTTCCTTTTTGAGAGGAAAGCTTAAGACATAACTGTACTGAGTAGAATAATCCCCAAAAAAAACTCACGTCCACCCTGAACCTGTGAATGTGACTTGATTTGGAGATAGGATCTTTGTAATGCAATCAAGTTAAAATGAGCTCATGCTGAATTGGGATGGATACCTATCCAATGACTGGTATTCCTTTTAGAGAGGGAAACTGAGGCACAAAGACCCAGAAAACTTTATGACAATGGATACAAAGATTAGAGCAATACATTCACAAGCCAAGGATTGCTGGCTACCCCTAAATACTGGGATAAGCATGAAACAGACTCTCTCAGACAACTCCAGTAGAAACCAACTCCATTAAGACCTTGATTTCAGACATCTGGCCTTCAGAACTATGAGAAAATAAATGTCTTCTCTGATCCCACCAATTCATGGTACTTTGTTATAACAGCCCTAAGAAACTAATACAATACTCCAAAGTGCGTTAGTCAGAGTCCAAGAAAACAGAATTAATGTTTATTACAGGGAACTGATTACATAAGAGAAACCAAAGAGGGAAAAGTGAAACAATTCAGATACTAAAAATCAGCTTTTTGTGGCTGAGCTCTTTGAGTTCTTTGTAGATTCTGGCTATTAATCCCTTATCAGAAATACAGTTTGTGAGACCAACAGTTAGCATAATGGCTATGTTGCTGGGCTCCATGTAGTCAACTGCAGTTCAAGTCCCAGACCCGGTGGTTTAAACTCATGCCGGGAGTGTGTGCATGCATGCCCAAGACCCAGAGAAGAGAATGGAGAAGGGATTGTGGCGTGGCCATCCCCTGGGGGCGGGGGTGATTTCTCACTTTCTGTCTCTGTCTCTGTCTTTCTGGCGAGTGTACACACTCTATATCAAAAACCTCTCTTAGAAAAAAAAAGAAATATAGTTTGTATATATTTTCTCCCATTTCATGGGTTGTCTTCTTACTCTATTTATTGTCTCCTTTACTGTGCAAAAGCTTTTTAGCTTGATGTGATTCTACTCACCTACATTTGGTGTTGTCTCTTGTGCTTTAGGAGTCCTGCTTAATAGATATTTGCCTACTTAAATATCATGAAGTACTCTCCCTAATTGTAGTTTTGGGCTTTTTGTTAAAATGCTTAATTAGGGACCAGCAGTTAGCGTAATGGCTATGTCGCTGGACTCCCACGTAGTTGACCGCGGTTCACGTCCCAGACCCGGTGACTTAAAAATAAACTCATGCCGGGCGCGTGTATGTGAGTGCCCAGGATCCCAAGAGGAGAGTGGAGGAGAAAGGATTGCGGTGTGGCCATCTCCCCTGGGGAGTGATTTCTCGCTTTCTGTCTCTCTGTCTGTCTGGCAAGCGCACACGCCCTATAGCAAAAAATTTTTAAAAACTTCAAAAAAAAATTTTTTAATTAACTTTGAATTTGTTTTTTAAAATGGTGAAAGATAGGGGTCTAGTTACATTCTTCTGTAGATGGGTATCTAATTTTCCCAGCACCCTTTATTAAATATTATCTTTTATCTACTGAATTGTCTTGAGATTTTCATCAAAAATAAAATGGATGTATGTTGTTGGATTTGTTTCTGAGTTCTCTGTTCAGTTTCATTTGTCTATGTTTTGTGCCAGTACCATGCTATTTTATTGCAACTTTTGAGGACATGTAGTGAGATGCCTTCAACTTTGTTATTACACAGTATCACTTTTCACTAAAGAATGTCACTGGTATATTTTTAGAGAGATTTTTGCTATAGAGTGTGTGACTCACCCAAGAGACAGAGAGAAACAGACAGAAAGCAAGAAATTACTCCCCCACCCCCCAGGGAGGATTGCGACACCACGATCCCTTCTCTTCCATTCCCCTCTTGGGATTTTGGGCACACGTACATGCACTCCCAGCATGAATTTTAAGCTGCTGGGTCTGGGACTCAAATTACATGGGAGTCCAGTGATGTAATCAGTTCGCCATCTACTGATCCCAAATGCCACTGGTATCTTAATAGGAATTGCATTGAATTCATAGATAGTTAGGTACTATCAACATTTTTTTAGAAAATTATTTAATTTCACTTATTTATCATTATTCCATTTGACTGGAGAGAGAGAGAGAGAAAGAAACCCACCATGTCCAGGACTCAAACCGTGGTCAGCCATGTGGGAGTCCAGTACCTTAAACACCATGCCATCTGCCAGCACCAGTACTATCAATATTTTAATCAGATTGATTCTTTCAATTCATGAACAAGGGATGTCTTTCCATTTTTTGTATCTTTTTCAATATTCTCCTTCAGTTTTTTATTGTTTTCATTGTAAAGATCTATCACTCCTTGTTTAGATTTATTCCTAGGTATCTCATTGTTTTTGTGGCTATTGTAAATGGGATAAATGATAAATGTGATTGCTTTCTTCATTTCTGTCTCAGTCTGTTTATTGTTATTGTACAAAAACACTCTAAACTTTTGTAAGTTGATTTTGTATCCTGTAATTTCCCTAAATTCATTTATCACATCTAAGAGTATTTAAGTGGATTCTTTCTTATAATTTATTGTCATACAGGGCATGCACATTTGTACGTTCTAGGCCTATTTTCTTGAGAGTTTTAATCATAAAAGGATGTTGTATTTGACAACTGCTTCCCTGTGAGTGGTTGCCTGTGTTCTCAGATCCTATGAACAGTGTGGGGATCCTCCTCCATGTGAGGTAGCTGAGCAGAGATATCAACAGCAAGTAAGTAATATCCTCTGTCTTGATGGATTGCACCCAAGAGGGAGTTGGTTGAGGAGTTGTGACTCAGGGTTGACTAGTTGTTTAATTTACCATTTGCATGCACTCCCTAGAGATCAAAGAAATTGTCTGCCCCACTGTCTGAGTGCCTCCAAAGTTGTGTCAATCCCCTGCATGCGGTTTGTTGCAAGAAGGAAAGCAGGGACTATCATTGGTGCAAACAGGGCTTCTGGGTGAGCCTCTGTAGCACTAGCAGGCACAAGTGAATGTGCAAGTGGCTCTAGGCAGGCCTCCATGCTGCACCCCTGTCTCCTCTTCCCTGTACTATTTCACATACGATCAAATATAGTACATGAAATAGTATATTCGTGTTCAGGAGAGGGAATTTCTGTTACCCACTTCTTCAGCCCCTCTTCCCCTCTCCCATTCATGATCACATTTCAGGGAGAACCTTAGAAGCTGTGTTGCAAATACAGTAGAAGGAGCAGGGAGCTGTTTCCAGAATTTCAAGTCTAGGAAAGAGAGAGCATGAATTCTGACCAGCCAGTTAGTTTGGGAGAATGTCTGGTTTCCTCAGTCTCTTCTACAGAGATGGTATGCTCACATGCCACATTCTGTTCTTCCCATGAGTTCTCCCACTGCAATGGGCCATCCATGTTCTGTACTGTGTAATGCTGCTTGTGTTTGGGTGCCAGGGTCATGGCTCTGCTGCTCAATATAGCTCAGGTGATCACTGTAGGTGTCCAAGCAGGCCTGGTGGGGTTTCAGTGGTTCTCAGTATTGCTTTGGTGATACAGGAACTTTTGTGATTCCAGACAAATTTTATGATTTCCATGAAAAAGAGATGTCTTTCCTGGGATGTGAGGATTTTCAGGCCATTGGTCCTTGGTGCAGGTTTTACTGCAGTAGTTGTTCTCAAAATGGTGCTGCTTGGTAGCTATTTGTTTAGGTACTTAGAATTGGGGTTACCCAGGGAGAGATCCTTCCAGGGAGTTACAGAGACCTGTAGATCTCAAGAACTGTCCTCCACTTGGCCAAGAGGTATGCATAACTGTGGACTACCAGACAGCTAAGGATGCCATCCACAGTGGTATGAAAAGCTGTTAAGAATATCTTGCTTGGGACCACAATATGGCATAGCGGTTATGTCACTGGATTCCTAAATGGCCGACTGGATCGAGTCCCAGACCCACTGACTTAAAATTCACATTGGGTGTGTGTGCATGCATGCCCAAGATTCCAGAAAGAGAATGAAAAAGGGATTGCAGCGTGGCCATCCCCCCTAGGGGTTATTTCTCACTTTCTTCTCACTATGTCTGTCTCTCTGTCTTTCCTGTGAGCACAGGCACCCTAACACAAAAACCTCTTCAAAAATAAAAATAACCTGTTGCTCATCTCTTCCCAGCTTCTGCTAATTTCAGCCTGCTGATTTCAGCTGCTTGGTAAATTTTATATAATTCATTTTAAAAACTATTTAGAAAAGAATCCACTTAGGGAACCAGCAGTTAGCGTAATGACTATGTTGCTGGACTCCCACGTAGTCGACCGCGGTTCGTGTCCCGGACCCGGTGGCTTAAAACTCACGCCGGGCGCGTGTGCGTGCGTGCCCATGATCCCGAGAGGAGAATGGAGGAGAAGGGATTGCGGCGTGACCATCCGCCCTGGGGGGTGATTTCTCGCTTTCTGTCTCTATGTCTCTCTCTGTCTGTCTGGCGAGCGTACGCGCCCTACAGTGAAAATCTCTCCAAAAAAAAAAAGAATCCACTTAAAGAGTCTTAGGTGCTTTTAATATTTTTATTGCCAGAGGACATGTGCACTCTCTGGAGAAAGACAGAGAAATAGAGAGAGGGAGAGAGAGAGGGAAAACATCCCCGATAGGGTATGGTCATGCCACAATATTTTCTCCTCCCTCTTTCCATCTTGTTGGGACTTGAGTCATGCAAACACATGTACCTAGCATGGTTTTCTTTTTCTTTTTTGTTTTAAGAAATTTTGCTATAGGACATGTGCACTTGACGAAGACAGAGAGAAAGTCAGAATTCACACCCCAGAGGGGATGGTCATGCTGCAATCCTTTCTCCTCTATTTTTTTTCTCAGGATTTCAGGCACAAGCATACATGCACCCAGTGGGAGTTTCAAGCCACTGGGCTTGAACCATGGTTGCCCATGTGGGAATCCAGTACCTCAACCACTATGCCACCTGTTGGCCTCACCCAAGCTGCCAGGGCTAAGACTTGAACTACAGTCAGCCATGTGAGATCCAGTTCCTTTAACTACAGCGTCATGGGGCCAACCTTTCAATTTTTTATTCTATGTTATTTCTCTCAAGTTTTAACTTTTCAGGGAGCTTCAGATCATTTCTTTTTATTTCAAGTGTTCTTCCATGGAAATTCTAATCAAAATGTTCCTGAGTAATTATTATTTTATACTTTGATTAAAGAGGAGATGAGTGCCTAGTGCTTCCCATTAGCCATCTCTCAGAATGTTAATAGTAGTTCTCACTAGTCATTTTGACTTTTTTATTTGCCTAATTTTAATACATATAACTAAGCAGCAAATTATGTTTACTTATATATTGTTAATACCATTGTGAAATGCTTGTTATGTTTTATGATAAACGATCAAATATAGTACATGAAATAGTATATTAGTGTTATTACAGCTATTCAAACACGTATTTTATATGTGTGTGTGGTGGGTGTGTATCTGTGTGTGTGTGTATGTGTGTGTGTGTGTATTTATCCAAAGGAAACTCATTGTAATGAAGATTATTTCAAAGGCATCTTATAGCTTATTGGGTGATTTTTTTTCCTTCTATTTTTCAACATCTTCTAAACATTTTATAAAAGGATATATTTGGGAAAGTAAACTTATTTTTTAAATATCTACCTTAGATAAGATCAAGCTGAAAATAAGAAGTGGTTTGCTAAATGTTTGCCATTGTTCATTGTGCTTTACACTACGGAAAATGGTTTTGTGTATAAAAGTAATGCATAGGGGGACCAGTAGTTGACGTAATGGCTATGCCGCTGGATTCCCATGTAGTCGACCGTGTTTCAAGTCCTGGACCAGGCGGCTTAAACTCACACTGGGTGCATGTGTGTGCATGCCCAAGAACCTGAGAGGATAATGGAGAAGGGATTGTGGCATGGCTGTCCCCCAGGGGGTTGATTTCTCACTTTCTGTCTCTCTGTCTCTCTCTGTCTTTCCGGTAAGCACATGTGCCCTATAGCAAAAACCTCTCCAAAAAAAAATAAATAAATAAAAGTAATGCATAGGGGCTGGCAGATGACGTGGTGGTTAAGGGTGCTGGACTGCCACGTCACCGACTGTGGTTTGAGGCCTGAACCTGGTGGCTTACTTTCTCACTTTCCCTCTCTCTCGCTCTGTCCCTCTCTGGTCAAATTGAAATAAATAAATAAATAAAATTAATTTGTCAAAAATAAATAAATAAAAGTAATGCATAGTCATCATAAAAAGCTACTAAACATATAAACAAGAAAATTGAAGTCACCTAGAATCCCACCACTCCAAGATCATCATCATTAATACTTAAGTGTGTTTCTGTCTGCTTTCTTTCTGGGTATTCATGAAGAGAGAACTTGTAAGGCCTCCCTTTCTATGACTCTCTTCAGTCTTCACGTTGGTAAGACTGTTGGAATGATCTGTTTGCAACTGTTTATGAACTGCTTATGACTGCAAGGCCTAGAACATCATAGACATGGCTCTGTGGACACTGGGCAGATAATATTTAGTGAACAGTTGTTATTAAGATGATAAGCATCCATTTCTGTATCACTTGGCAACAGTAACCAGCATTTCCTGAGGAGAACTCCTCTCCCATTCCCAGGCACTGTGGTTGGGGTGGAAAAGTCTCCAACTCAGTTTAAGAAGTGCTAAATGACCAAAGCATAGGTCAGTCAGGCCACTCGATTTCAATGGACCCAACAATGATTCATATCGGTCCAATAAATATAAATTCAAGACTTTCTTCAAAATTATGAGATAAGAAACACTCTCTTTGTCACTGAATATTCACATTTAAAGAAGAGATTCTATGGCCAGCCAGTAGCATAGTGATTAAAGTGGCGGGATCCTATATGGTCAACTGCATATTTCGAGTCCCAGACCTGGTGACTTGAGAAACACACTGGGCATGTGTGTATGTGTACCCAAAATCCTGAAAGGAGAATGGTGAAGAAATCATGGCATGTCCATCCCCCACTTGGAGTGCTTTCTCTCTTTCTTTTTCTCTTTCTCTTTCTTTCTCTCTGGTGAGTACATGCACCTTATAGCAATTTTTTAAAAGGGCGGGAAAGAGGGAATTATAAACATTCCCAAAATATGAGGCTGCACTGTAGTAAGTTAAAAAATGAAGTTACCATCTGAGGCATTTGGGTATATCCACTTCTGCATATTCTGAAGACTAATTTAGCCTCTATCTCAAACCAAGCAGACTTTCCCGCCGAAATCCTTAACATCTTGTCCCCCACTCACAAATTTTCAGTCTACTCCAACCAACTATGTCAGCTTTTCAAAGGTAGGAGCCATGTCTTTCATATGCCTGTATTTGTCTTGCTAAATAATTATTCCTGGTTTTCTCAGAAAGAAAAAAGTACCAAGAACAGAGGAAATGCGACATTTTTGGTTCCATTCACTCACTGAAGAGCTTCTGGGTTCCAGTTCTTCTAGCTGTTAACAGCCACAGCAGCCTCTACCTTCCTGTTCTTCTTATGGCTTTTGCCTTGTGACTCTGCAGGGGTACAAATGTGGTGACAGTGCCACTCCCACCTAAACAAAACCAGAGAACTTTGACAAACCACTTACATGATGACACCCCTCAAAGCCTGGGGAACACAGACCTAGGAGGTCTGTGAGATCACTGAGCCCACCCTCTACCTCCCCTCCGCCCTTGAAGGGGGCTCCTTGTGTCTAGGAGGAAGCATCAGCAGCTCTGACTCGGCAGCCTTCTCGGAAAGATGCAGCCCCTCCTGCTCCTGCTGGCCTTCCTTCTGCCCCTTGGGGCTAGGACAGGTAAGTGACCACCCCTGTTCGAGGCCTGAGCCCATCTCTCAAACCCCCTGTACTTTTTTTTTTTTTTTTTTTTTTGAGAGATTTTCACTATAGGGTGCGTGTGCTCGCCCGACAGACAGAGAGAGACATAGAGACAGAAAGCGTCGCCAGACAGACAGAGAGAGACAGAGAGACAGAAAGCGAGAAATCACCCCCCCAGGGGGGATGGTCACACTGCAATTCCTTCTCCTCCATTCTCCTCTTGGGATCTTGGGCACGCACACACACGCGCCTAGCGTGAGTTTTAAGCCACCCGGTCCGGGTCGCGAACCACAGTCGACTACGTGGGAGTCCAGCGACAGCCATTATGCTAACTGCTGGTTCCCAAAACCCCCTGTACTTTTGAACTTACGCTCAGCACAGGTTAAGAATGCTCCCTAATCTAAGCCTAAGAACTTTCTGAGCCCCAACTCCCATCCCAAACTCAGACTTGTAAGTCTGATGCTAGACAGATCTTCAGTAAGGCTGACAGAAGGAAGGGTGCTTTCTGAAAGGTTTAGTGGGCATTCACTCCTCCCTGGACCTCTCCTTTACCACCTGGAAAGTGGGTTGTTCTTAGAAAGGCATTTAGTGGAAGATGTGAAGCTAAAACATTTTATCAAAATCCCTCACTCCAACTCAGGAAAGGGCAAATCATATACCCATGAGTAGTACAGGGAATCACTGAGCCCAGCTTAGAACCAGCTAAATTATTCAGTGCCCTCCAATCTCTCACTCCTGTCCACAAGAGATGTCCAGATAAAACTGATCTCAGAGGAAGAACTACAAGTGTATCCGTAGCTTTCCCGTTGTCTAGGCTCCGTCCTGGGCATTTGAAATCCACTTCGAGTTGGCTTCCCCCTACCTTCCCAGACTCTCCCACTACCTCTGTGGCCCTGAATCCCACCAGTACTACCAAAGCCCAGTCAGAGGCTAACTGGAGGCCATGTATCCATGTGGCCAGAAAACATTTACTGAGAACCTAAGACGTATTAGAACTTAGGACATGAGGACTTTAGGAAGTCCAACTCCATAAGCTCGTGGGTAGATTATTAGACATTAGCACCAATTAGGATGTTACCAGAGGCCCAGAGGGGTCAGGAAGTCTCCTTAAGAAAAAAGGAACCGGGAACCAGCAGTTAGCGTAATGGCTATGTCGCTGGACTCCCATGTAGTCAACCGCGGTTTGCGTCCCGGACCCGGTGGCTTAAAACTCACGCCGGGCACGTGTGTGTGTGTGTGTGTGCCCAAGATCCCAAGAGGAGAATGGAGGAGAAGGGATTGCAGAGTGACTATCCCCTCTGGGGGGTGATTTCTCGCTTTCTAGCTCTCTGTCTCTCTCTGTCTGTCTGGCGAGCGCACACGCCCTATAGCAAAAACCTCTCAAAAAAAAAAAAGAAAGAAAAAAGGAACCGAAGGGATTGCAGCATGACCATCCCCCCTGGGGGGTGATTTCTCGCTTTCTGTCTCTATGTCTCTCTCTGTCTGTCTGGCGAGCGCACGCGCCCTATAGTGAAAAATCTCTCCCAAAAAAAAAAAGAAAAAAGGAACCAGGGCAGACTTTACTGGGCTCCTCTGGAGCTCCACCTCCTAAGATCCATCGAAATGCATATGAAGTGGGATGCAGGCCCAAGCACTTTCCTTCCCTTCTCAGGCAGGATTCTGAGGCTTGAGGCCCAGAAGAATTTATTCTGCTTGCAAGATGGGCTGCCGGTAGAGACTGAGGGACTCTCCGAGCAAACCGTGCAGCACCAGAGGTCCCACTCCTAATCACCACCTTCCTAAGCCTTCTCTCCTAACCACAGCCACCCCTAGCCAGTCCATCTTCCACCCTT